TGATCTGGTAGCTAGACTTTGGTCTTGGGCTGCGATTATGAATCCTTCCGTTTCTACCTTCAGTCCACTGCTTTTGAGCCACTGGTTGGTTTTGTGGTGGTCAACATCTGCATACTTTGTTCTCTTTGGGTATCTTCTATGTAGGGCTTTGTCCTCCCACTGCTTTGTTAATTTTTCTTGGGTCTTATTTCGTGCCATTTGTTTGGTTCTCTTTGCATATTTGGTGGTTGTTTCTTCTGCTTGTTTGTCTGGTATTGTTATGTCTAGTTCTTGTTTAAATTGTTCTGCTTGCCTTTGTATAGAATAAAATTTCTTTCTGCCATCATGTTCTTGCACTAGTTCGATTAGGGCATCATCATTGTTCCTTAGGTATGAATCGAGCCCCATCGTGGTTGTTTTGTAAGAGGCTTCTAATTGGACGATAAGACCCCTACCACCAGCATTTCTTGGGAGGTATAGTCTGTCTACATCTGCTTTTGTGTGATGCATTTTTGATAGGGTGAGTAGTTTTCTTGTTTTTGTGTCTAACCTCTTGATTTCACTCATCTTCCAGTCGATTTTGTTAAAACTGTAGGTCACCACTGGGATAGCTAAGGTGTTGAATGCCTCAAATCTATTGGCAGCATTGAGCTCCGTTTTTAGGACCATCCTTACTCTGCGGTAGTATTCCTTCCTCACTTTTTCTTTCATCTTGGCATGCTGTATACCATCACCTTCATCCACGCCAAGGTATTTATATGTGTTCTCTTGGTCTAGTTCCTTGAGACAGGTGTCAATGTCAAGTTGTAGATCGGAAGTTTTTTTCAATGTAGCTTTAACGCATTCGTCCAGCCCGAATTCCATCTTGATATCATTGCTGGATGTCTTTACAATATTGGGTAGGCCGGTTTGCTGGCTGTCACTTTTTGCATATGTTTTTAGGTCGTCCATATAAAAGAGGTGGGTGATTGTTCTACCCTGGGCTTCATACCCATAAGTGGTTGCCTTTAGTAATGAGCTCAGTGGAGCAAGGGCAAGACAGAACAGGAGTGGAAAGAGAGAGTCTCCTTGAAAGATTCCACTTTTGATATTGATAGGCCTTGATGTCATTGACCCTTCAGCAAATTATTATTATTGTTATTATTATTATTATTATTATTCCTTATGTGACTGTCTACTCTTCTTAACTTTTTCTGTTCTATATCAATGATTCTGGTGTAAGGAAAATTGAAGCCTTCTGGAATAGATAACAAATACCATTAACAAATAGGAATGACATAAAAAGCCCAACCAAAATATGTCTACACTTTACCTACTTTGATATTTTTGTGCCAGATGATCTATTTTTCTTTACTCAATGATGACTATGGAACAGACCAAATACTTTTTTTTCGTAAAATATTTGTTCTTATATCTCATTGCAATCCATAATTATCGATAGATTATTTTTATAGGCAACGTTTCATTTTCTTGACAACTGCAAAGCTTATGATTAGTTTTCGTCAGATTATGAAAGATATTTTGTATTTTCCTCTGTTATCTGCAAAAATAATGACCATATCAATGAAGGTTCCGATACTTGCCTGAACCTTGACGAATTCCCACTAACAAAACTTCTATTACTCCAGTCAATGGCCTAAATGTTTGATTAGGATGGAGAAATATATTGGGTAACTTTTCCTTTGCTAACAATGGCTACTCGAAAAGGAAAGATACTAAAATAACAAAAACATAAACTGAATGTTACTGTGTCCGCTTTTGTAGTAATGATTTTCCATCCCCCACCTAAAAAAGTGCTAGACAACAATTATTGGACCCAATCAAACCATAATAAATTAAACAGCTGCACTGAGCTTAGATCAGCAATAGCTGCTGCATCAATAAATAGATAAAATCTCGTAAAAGAAATTCACCTAGATGCGACGAACTTAATCGAAATACAGTCAATGTGTTAGTAGACTCACCTGTAAACATGTTCTTTGTCAAAACCTATTAAACAGAACAATCAAGACAGACTGATATCTTTAGTGTTATGACATATCACTCATAACAGTGATATTCAAAGACAATAATATGGAAATATTTAACTTTAAGAAAATTCCTTTGCTATAACAATGGCCGCTTGAACAGGAAATACACTAAAATAACAAAAACAAAAACTGAATGTTACTGTATCCGCTTTAAAGTTGTAAGAATGATTTCCCATTGCCACCAAAAAACGTGCTAGCCAGACACAACAATCGTTGGACCCAATAAAACCATAATAAATAAAAGAGGTACACCGCTGACCTTAGATTAGCTACATCAATTAATAGATAAAATCTCGTAAAAGAAATTCACAGAAACAGAAGTTGTTTTCATTCCCTGTGGTGTATGAGATTTACCATTAAATGACCAGTAATAAATGATTGATATTATTAATTGTAATCCATCAGATACTTTCGCTCGCGCGCGATTGGTCTAATCGCGTCAAGTGACCGACTATTCCCCAGCTAAAACTGGGGAATATCCGAGAACATTCCCCAATTTTCAAAACTGCGTGCGTTGCGAAAAAAATTTGAAGAATAATAAACACAGTAGCCTCCATTTGGGGCGAAAACATGCTCGGATATTTGACCTTGGACATTATCTGTTCCTCGAAGGTCACAGTTTTCCTCGAGCTGCGGTCTCGGAAAACTGTTCACTTCTCGGAACAAATAATGTCCGCGGACAAATATCCGAGCATATTTTCGCCCCAAATGGAGGCAATTGTTTATTTAGACGTTTATCCATTTATGCATTTTCCGAATGAATCTCAGTTAGGGCAGTATTAGCTGAATTAGTCGCAGTATTAACTGAATTAGTTGTCTGTTGTGGGCAGCTCCCCCAAAATTAGTTAACGTAGAGGCTTACCTGTAATTGGGACGGCTTGACAGCACGTTAGGACCAAGAAAAGGCAAAGAGTAATGAATCTACACATAGCTTTAGGACTTTGTAACGTTATATAGAAAATGTGGGTGTGACCACGTGAGCAACGACTATTCATCCTCGTTACACGGCGGCCATTTTGGATATGACGTATGTACTTAAGGCATGAAATCGAGGCGATGCGTGTTTAATCTGTGAGTTTGCAGCTAATCATGCAAAAATATAGGTTATTTTAGTGTGCCCTCGTGCTCAAATAACAGATCAAAAGGTCAGTTAGGAATTACCTTCCATCGCTTTCCAGGCGACAAATATACGAAGAAAAGCTGGATTGTAAAAATTTGTCGAGATGTTGGCAAAAACTTCCAGGTTAGTGATTGTGTTTTACGACTCCAGGATAAGCAAGCTTTATCTGTAATCAATTTGTTCAGGTTTACAAAGTAATTAATTACATTTAATTTGATCGACTAGAATTATATGTTGAGCCGAGCTGCTATTTCACTACGTTCCTTATGTACTCTTTATTGCCCGTAATAATAAAACGTTACAATTGTCCTTTAGATTTCGAGAAGCACAAAGGTTCGCTCGGAACATTTTAAACCATCAGACTTTCGAACGACCTTCTCTGGGAAACGCGTATTGAGGAAAGGTGTAGTTCCTTCTGTATTTCGCTGGACAGTGCCTTCTCCAAAAAAAAGGAAGGCAAGAATCCGTTTTCACCTTTCCTCAATACGCGTTTCCCAGAGAAGGTCGTTCGAAAGTCTGATGGTTTAAAATGTTCCGAACAAACCTTTGTGCTTCTCGAAGTCTAAAGGACAATTGTAACGTTTTATTATTAAGCATAAGCAGCGTAGTAAAATAGCAGCTCGGCTCAACACATAATTCTAGTCGATCAAATTAAATGTAATTAATTACTTTGTAAACCTGAACAAATTGATTACAGATAAAGCTTGCTTATCTTGGAGTCGTAAGACACAATCACTAACCTGGAAGTTTTTGCCAACATCTCGTCAAATTCTTACAATCCAGCTTTTCTTCGTATATTTGTCGCCTGGAAAGCGATGGAAGGTAATTCCTAACTGACCTTTTGATCTGTTATTTGAGCAC